TGAATGAATGAATGAATGAATGAATGAATGCCCTACTTATTTGCTGCCTTGGGATGAAAAACAAGGGAAAAGGGGCTTGTTTCGGATTCTCATTGTTCCTTGTTTTTGTTTGTTTGTTTTGTCCTGGAGAGTATAACTCACTGAAATGTTCTGAAAGATTCTTCCAAGGGGGATGTTTTGTTCTGACTTGAAATAAAATATTTTTTTACTGTTCTGTGCATCTCCCTAATTATATGACGTGGACCCTCTCGTTGGAGACCTTGCAATGACCTCTATCCTCTCTGCTACTACCCCCTTCCTACAGGCCGGTCTGCCTCCCGTGCACGGTAGAAACCACTCGGATTCTCAGAAAGCCACATCCGCAGACCACTTGTAAGGATCATGGTAAGAAGACGCCAAGTGTTCAGTTCTCGGTAGAGACAGAAAACATTTTAGCATCCCGAGTTATGAATAAAGTAAACTCTTGATTTAATGGACTAGTAGAGGGAAAGGGGTGCCCGTTCAAACTGAATGTCTTTTAAATTCAGTGTTTATCCTCCTCCTAACAACAACAAGAATGAAGAGAGCAAGGCTGGTGTGGATCTTCTGCTCTCTCCCCTCAGTAGCCTGCCTGTTCCCCCAAACATCCCAGCCCCTTCCTTCCCTCTTCCCCACAGCTGTCACCACATAGGCCATCCGCCCTCCCCGCCTCCATTTTCCCAATTCCATCTCTCATTTGCCTGCCCTCAGCCCCCAGCGATGTCCACAGTGGCATATTATGTCCACTAATCCAAAATGTGCTAAACTGAGGTTTGTTAACTTGACTCTCTATGGAACTATGAACCTAGGTGTGGCAAAGATTCAGGGCTACACTCCTGTTTTCTTTGCCAGCTCCACGTTGCTGGCCTCTTCCAGCTTTACTGATTAGACCACCTCTCGGGAACATGGGAGGAGGGGGTGAAAGTTTAACACAATCTCAAGGGCTTCTGGGCTTGTCCCATATTTGTCCACTGAAAACCTGGTTCTCCTCCTCCATCACTCCTTCGTAGATTAATCGCTTGCCAGTGCTCACCATCCTGCTTTACCTTTCTTGTTTTTTCTAGAGGAAGAACTCCTGTATGATGGGAATATTCCTTCTCTTTTCATAACCAACTGTGAATATAGCCATGGCCAGAAATCTGGATTGCGCCAGAGAGATGTGTGGATCAAGAATGGGGAAAAGGTGCTAACCGGGGACTCAGTTTGAGCGAGGGCCAGTTACATCATTAGCCATTCGGCAATAGTGAAAACACGAAGATGCGTTTGCTATCATATATGACAGAGTCCTGCTACCAATGTCACACAGGTAGCAAACCTGTCTCCAGACCAGCTGTCCTCTAGCCGGTCTCCCTCAAGATGTGTTGTCAGTACAACTCTCAGAGTTCCCCAACAACCATCTTGGCTTAGGACCTGAAGATATTTGGGGTCAACAGCTTCTAGGCCTCCTGGATGTGTCCACTGTTTCCCTAAATCCACATCTCCATTTCTCTCTTCAGAAAATTGCCTGCACCTTGGATGCCAAGAAAGCCAGCCAATATGAGAAGATTGCAAACATCTTGGAGTTGGTGACTGAACACTTCTTTTGCACAGGAAGCACTGATCCCCCGGTGGACCCCAACGTTTGTTTAGGTAAGCAGCATTAGCACCTCAATTTTTTTCCCTTCTCTTTAGGCACCAGGAAGTATAGGAGCTCCCAAGACACCAAGTGACCTAGCCCCAATCTTAGCTTCACTAGGTAGATCACATAAAAAAATCAATTCCACAGGAAGGCTAAAACTACTTTTATTGAAACTGGCTGTAATAACAGAATCTTGGAAGTCTGATACTGCTGTACCTCCTCCTCCTCGTTATACCCCAATAGACCAAGGAGGCATCTGCCTCAGCCTCTTCCAAGTGTTATCTTGTTGTCCTGGACTTCAAAAATGTTTCAGCCCTTTTGCCTAGGCAACCATTCTTGCATCAGGTAATGTTCTTTACTCTCGGCACCAGGGTTTCAGAGCAGGGATACTTCTTCAACAGGGAGAGGGGGCAGGAGGTTTTGGAAGAGTTCTTTAGGATAATAAAACGTTGGCTTCTTCTTTGAAAAGAACCCTAGTTGTGTCAGCCCTGTAAAGATCTTCTGGAACAATCCTCCAAAGGGGAACAAGGGTCTTGGGAATGTTCACCTGAACAACAAGAATGACTGGCATTCTGTTCAAAGATGAGCCCAGTCTTTTTTGTCTGTATAAACATTGCAGGAATAAAGAATGTGTTGCCTTCCAGATGTTGCTAAACTAGAGTTCCCAGCATCCTTCATTACTGGGGATTATTGCTGGCTACGGCTGCTGGCAGCATCTGGAAGATCATAGCCCCTCTCCCCTGCTTATTGGGTCTACAGCCCAAAGGCCCAGGTCTTTGAAGCATCTAGCCCACTTACATATGGCAGCTTTTCTAATACAAGCTGCAGACTTGCCCACCTCCTCCGTTCCCAAGTCCCAAAATTCAGTGCTGTGCAGGACTATAGTGGAAGCTTCGGCCTTGAAGGATTTTTAGGAAGAAGGGAATCCCACGTGCAATATTTTCAAGCCAAGGATTACAATTGCCCTCGGATGAAAGGCCATGTAAAGCTGTGGACTAGACTGGGGAGAAAGATTCTGTGCCCTGGAAGAAGGTAGAACAAACTACCATGTTTTTATCAGGAAAACAACACTGATGCATCTCCACCGTGTGATGGCCCAAACCGGAGCTGAGAGTTGACTTTACACGTAATTAAAATGAAATTAAAGGATTAAACCTGGTTGAAAACTGAACTCTGCATGCCAATTTGATGGCAACACTTGGAGGGGTTCCTGGAACTACTGAACCAAGATTTCTGCCAGTAGGCTGTGCACCTGTTTTCTAAAATTCTTGGGTTGCCGGCTAATTTAGAATTTGCAGGATGCGGAACATTAGAGGAGGTGCCAGGACTGAAATAAACAAGATCAAGTTTATTAACGTTGTCCCTATTAATTACATAGAGCGCCAGGGGTTCTTCCCCAATCTGCCATAGTGACCCCAAACGGGCAGGGACAGTCTCTGGAATTTGACTCACAAAGGGGTTGCTTTTGCTGGGCAAGTTTTATAGCCCTTCCACCTCTCCCTCCCTCTCCACCCCAGTGTTGCTTCATTTAGGGATCAGCAAGGGGAGGTTAGATATTCATGAGGATTAAGTGTCTAGCAGGTATTGGGCACTGCCAGGACAAGAGGGCAAGAGTTAGAGCAGAAAGTTTGTTATCTCGCAGCTCGCAAGAGTAAATAGGAAGAAGCAGCTTGTCTAAGTAACCTCTCTTCCAGAGTTAATTTAAAAATGCAGGTCATTCACCGGACAGTACTTCTTGGCAGCCAAGGATGGATCATCTGCAAGATTGCTTCCCTTGGACCACACGTGGTCTTCATATGACATGCTGGAAACCTCCCAGAGGGTTTTGAAACACAGCTTTCTAGTCACTTGGGTTGTGGAGTGAATACCCAAGGAGGAATATTAACAATTCAATCCTTTCTCGTTCACTACTTTTAAAAATTAGAACCTTTTTTGGTGTCTGAAATGCTGGGGAAAGCTGGCTTCTGGTACACTGTTCAGGTTTAGATCCCAGCTGTGCGCAGCCAGCTAACTCCTTGGCTAAGCCCCTTGGTTCTCTTGCTTGCAGATGATGCTGGTGGTCCACTCCTCATTCAGAGAAGGCTACGTTACATCCAGGTGAGCAGTTGCTTGAGCCAAACCCAGCCTCTTCCCTGTCAAACAGACAAACATTCCTGTCCTCAAATATAAGCAGCTTATTCCTTAAAGCCATTAGTAATGGGGAAGGCATGTGGTCCAGTTTTACTATTTTGGGTCCCAACCACGGGCAGCCACATTGGTTGATGAACCAAAATGATTTGTATGCCCTGCTTAGCTATGGCTTTCTTCCCACTGGAGCAGTTATTTTCAAACTTGGCCAGTTCAAGATGTGTGGACTTCAACTCCCAGAATTCCCCAGCCAGCATGGCTGGCTGGGGAATTCTGGGAGTTTAAGTCCAAACAACTTGAATTGGCTAAGTTTGAAAAACACTGCACTGGATTCTGTCAAGCTTTACAGCCATGGTTCTTTCTCCATCTTTCTCTCCTTCTCTAGTTGGGTGTGATGAGTTGGAGCGTGGCTGACGCTTGCAAAGGTAATGTATCATTACCGTGTGACTCGGAGCCTGAAAAGCAGCCGCCCCTCCCCTACACCAGGGATTTCTACATCAACATCTTCAAAATCCTACCTTGGCTCAAGGAGCAATTGAGAGAGGATCTGCATTTCCTGTAAACTGGCTCTTCCCATCGCACATGAGATGTTTTGAATAAATGGATCAAATATCTCCATGTCCCTTTAATTGAATGCAATATTAATAATTGTGTATTAAATGTCAGGGAGGGAGGGAGGCATACACACGCAGGTGAGTGATTTTATCCCTAATTGCATGACATCTTAAGCCAAAAACCTGGTTAAAATAACGTAATCCCTTAAGCGAAGCTAAGGAACCTTTACCCAACCTAGTGCCATCTAGTTGTACTGGGACTGCAACTCCCAGAACATCTAGCCATAGTAAAGAGCCACTATTTTGGATTTACACAACCAGGATTTGCAAACAAATGTTGGTTCCTATAAAGCCAGTGACACCATTCCAGGTTCTGATGAGATGCTAAGCCCCCAACTCTGGTGACAGAATGGCACATGGTGGAGAGAGGAAAGATAGCAACCCATTTGTGTGTGTTAACAGGACTTTTGGCTTAGTCTGCCACAAACACAGACTTTCCAACTCTGGTGGGAGTGGAGGTTGAGGCTATAAGGAGAACCACGTGTAGACGGATTGACACCAGGCATATTCCACACATCAACAACTTGTATCTGCCAAATAATTCTTTTTCAGAAATTCCAAGAAATGACAACTGTGTTAATTCATATTATACCCCATTAAAATGGCATTACAGGAATCAAAGCCTTTCTGGCTTGTGATGGCTTATGATCAAATTGGCATATATTCCCACAATCCGTTAGCCAATTGTTTCATTTCCAAGTTCTCGGCTAAACTGAAGAGCTTCCAAGTCTTCATGCTGGCGTAGCTTTGTTGTCTATTTTTCCCGAGACATATGCAACATAACAAAATAATTCAATGTTTGTGAGCTGCCAGATTTACTACAGCAAAACACTGGAAAACAGAAGTACACCTTTACGTGCACATCCATAAAGCTATTCCCTTTCTGGGTATGCAACATTATGTGCCACACAGAAAATAAGGAAGAACTAGTAAGCAAAGGAAATGGAAGGCGCGAAATAAGAGAAAACGCAGCTAACACCGCTACAAACACCGTTCTCTATACTTCTCCGTATCCTTGCAAACCATCATTCCTTCCACCACCTTCATACACAGATTCACACGTTCCCTTTTTATTTTTAAACTTACATTTTTCCTCTTGAAGATCTCATCAAATTAGTCCAGCCACAACTCCATCCTTGCCTCCTGTTGTTCTGCTATTTGATCTTCATTCTCTCTGTCAAATCACTTTAACGTCCTTCTTTCATACGAGTCACTCACGTTTAGCTTCATTCCACCTTCAGGAGACATCCTGGGCCTGTTTCTTCTTGTGTCAAAACACAGACTTAAGTAACCCATTCCCCCTACATCCCACTGTGACATTTTTGCAGTTCTCACTGCCATCCAAAAGGGGGCAGAAGCGTGCTCTCATACAGTTATTTTCAATTTTTCAACATTCTTTTGGGGCAACAGATCACAACCTACCAACATTTGCACATTGTAAACTTTCTCTGTGGCTCCCCCCCCCGCCTTTAATAAATATTCTACCAATACCGAAATACTTGCTCTAGTTTTTTTGCCTTTTATATATAACTCGCAATTATTTATTCCATCTCCTCTCAAACAGAACTATTCTTTTTTTTTTCCTGCCTTTTGTGCATGTGTGATTGTTGTGTTGATTTATGGGTTGACCATTTTATAAAGTAGAATTATTTTTTAAGCTGAATGGTACTGTTGAAGTTTAATTCATTGTCCTTATCTAGGAAGCCACCAAGTGCCTTCAAACTGTGGTGGGAGAGAAGTATGATAAATAAACAAATAAGCAATCTTGGCTTTTGATACATACATTTTAAACTGATACTCATCATGGTATCATACAGCTTATCTAATGTTCACTGCAAATACAGGTAGTCCTCACTTAATGATGCTAATTGGGACTGGAAACTCTGTCAAGTGATGTGGTCGTTGAGCGCAACGTCACGTGACCGTGCCACTTTATGATGGCATTTCCAGCAGCAGGCTTAAGTGAGGACTGCGCAGGTCATTAAGCAAGGACTTCATGTGATTGCAACTTCTGACTTCCTGCCAGCTTCCCCATTGACTTTGCTTGTGGGAAGGTCGGAAATGGCGATCATGTGACCGCAGGATGTTGCAACGGTTGGAAATGTGGGCCAGTCACTGAGTGCCCAAATCGCAATCATGTGACCGTGAGGATGTCACATGGGTTTTAAGTACAAGGACCAGTCGCAAGTATCACTCATTCAGTGCCGTTGTAATTTTGAATGGTCGCTGAATGAGTGGTCATTAAGCAAGGACTACCTGTAATTGGAATTCGCAGCCAACATGTCATTCTGAATATACAAAAGTATCTGCACATTCAAGTTCCCAATCAACACAACTCTACTATCACAAGCATTTCTTACATATTTTCCATAAATACATTAAATAACCAAGGGGGCATCACACATCTTTGTCTTACTTCCTGTTCGTTTGCTAAGCATTCCATTTATTCACACACATGCTTTGCTCCCATTGTATCCTGGTCTTATTCCAATCAATAATTTCCAATTCTGAATTTGCAGAAACTTTCCATACCTCAAGCCTATTTGCTTTACCAATGCACTTTTATCTATCAACAAACTAAAATAAACATTTCTACCGTTCATACATTTCTCAGTAACTGTCAGCCCAACAAGGTAGACCAGACTAAGGGACCAATACCATATAGGACAGGAAATGTTTATTGGAACATCTAAAGTAACAGAATCTTGCAAGTCTGAATGTGCTTCCCCCTCTCTCACTTTATCTTCATGTGAACTTGAAGATAGGAGGGGCATGCCTGAGATATTTTCTCATGTTATTTCCTTGGCGGAGCCCAAGCCCCTCTTATGATTGTTCCCTTGGTAGGAGCTCCTCCTCCTGTCCTTCAAAGCCATTCCCTCTACAGTAACCCGCTTTGCCTTTGTATCAGGAGTAACAGGATTCTTCCAATTGTCAGGCACAGATGCAGTCACATAGCCCTTCCACGAGCAAACTGCATCCGTGTTTTAACATTTCTCCAGCTACATCATCTTAGCATTTTTCAACGTTCTCACAGTACCTATTCTTTCCTTTTCATCCATTTTTCTTTGCCGTAAACATATATAACATTTATTTCCGTTCCCTTTGACAAACTATTTTCATCTTTAAGTTTTCTCCTCGTTAAACAGCCTCTTCCATCTCATCACTCTGAGTATCCTTTCCCATACTCCCATTAGCATAATTCCACGCACTTCTGTGTCCCTCCGTAGCACAATTCTTCTCCCTGTTCCAAGCATATTCAAATATCCTCATGCTTTACACCTACTATCCATTCATTTGGTTGGGAGATTAATCTATCTTCTCATACTTTTCATTCAGAACTTTTACTTTCTCTTCTTCCAGTCCTTTAATGACTTATGCTTAAATCACAGGATTCAAAACCAACTGGCCTTTTTTCTATGTAGATGATCATCATGTTATCCCCAAACTTTGCTTGATGCTTGGCTAATTCTGAAGCTAATGAATTGTTTTTGTTATCAAACTAAATTGTATTCACTGTCTTTCTAGCCTGGTGGCCTCAACCTTCCTTTCTTTCAGCAGCATAGCGTCGATGAAAACAATCACTTCATTTTCTGTTGTTAAGTCACATTCAGAAAGAACCGAGTATCTACAGCAAATAATTCAGGGAACTGATGGTCCATCTACATTTTCTTTTAGACCATCCCCTGCATTTATAGAATCAAGCTGTTTCCCAAGCTGGGGAAGCACTGAGGTTCAAGCTTGTGTTAAAGGCACTTGGAAGAAAAGGACACAGCACTTTTCGAAGCCTCAGTCCTAAACTGGAATTAGCACGGTGCAAAAAGTTTTTAAAAGCCAATGTTTATTTGAATCTTTTAAGTGAACAAGGCAAAGAGAAGATGGGGATCGGTGTTCCTACACTTCAAAAGTTATCCTCTTTGTAAATAACCTGGGATCGCTTGTCTCGATGAGAACCATTTATGGTGTTTATCACGGCTGAAAAGGAAATGAAAGACGTCAGTGACCCCAGCAAAAGATAAATAGCTTTTGGCTTCTCCCACTTCTCCCGCTTTACCTCCAAAGAGAAACATGCAAAGCACATGGAGATGAGTGGAAGTGGGCATAAGTCCCCTCTCCCCGCAACTTTAATTTCGGATACAGAAATGTTTTGGGAATGACTTGATCTTGGGTCCTCTGATGCCAGACCCTAATTACCAGTGAGGCCTAGGCATGTTTATTTAGTCCCCGTCTTAGGTTTTCAAGCACAAGCAGGGACAATGTAGAACAGCACCTAGATGGAGCCCCAAGCAACTGCATGAGTGGAAAACATTGTTTGGGCTGCTTTGAGTGTAAAGAAAAAATTGGCCTGGGGACCTTGTTGGGCATACGCATCTGCCCTCAGAGGCTTTGCACCCCCTTCCTGGCACTTCTCATGCTTCCGTCTACATCCACATCCTCACCCAAAGTTCCCCAGACGGAGTTGCCGACAGCCACATCCAACATGGGCTGCTTGCGAGCGATGCTGACCGTCAGCTTCACATCTTCCACGACGGTACCGTTGAGCTGTGAGGAGACAAGACACCCAATTGCTCAAGAGCCCAGACCAGCTTTGAGAAAAGAAAGAGAGACTTGCCTGTCTCGTAAAGGCCAGTAAGACTTGACCAAGCCAAGGTCCATCATCCTACAATGATGTCTGGCATCAGAGCAACAAAAAAAGGGGGAGGGGCTGATCCCCGATATAATGCGATCATTAGAACCCGCTGCTCGGCCAACTGCAAAGAGTAAAAAATGATGGAGGGAGCTGGGGCTCCAGCATCGTTCCTCCTGTTTTGCTTCTGCCATCTGTAAGAAAATGCCTTCTCCAATACCTGAGCAGTCGCTCGGTCTGCTGATTCGATCTTGTCATAGGTGACGAAAGCACAGCTGAGGGTGGGAAAAGAAGAGAACAGTTAGTGAGGGTAATGGAGAGGAGGTCCCCAGGTGGCTAACTGCTCAGTGGCCCAAGGCGCTATTTATCGAGAAGCCGCGGTCCATGTGGGTGGCGACCCAAAGTTGCAAATCTCTGTCCCTCTGTCCCAAATGGAAGGAGAAGCAGAGGAAGGGGAGGGGAAGGAGGGGGAACAAGGCCACTAAGCAGTTAAAGCGGACTTCTCAAGCTTTCTGCAATTATGGAATTAATTTCTGCAATTAAATAAACATTTGAAAGTGCAGGGACTAGAGAGGTCCATGGAGGGGCAGTAAGAGGAGTCAAAAATTGAAGAGAGTGGCTGCGACCACACAACTGGTTGCAGTTTACAACCATTCCTCACATTTATGGCCATTATAACATCCTGTGGTCAAGAGATAGCCATTCAGGCACTCCACAACTGGCGTGCATCTCGTGGTCACATGATCGCCATTTGCAAGATTCACAACCCTTTTTTTAAAAAATCAATTTTTGGCCCCCTTGTAGTTGGTCCTATCAAGGACCACTGAATTCAGTCATCCGTAAACGTACCCTCCCTACATTCTGGTCTTTAAGAACATGGGAGTTTACATTTTTCAGCAAATAAGATAGTGATTGTTACTGCACGTGTATATGCATTCCCATCCCCTCCATTTAAAAAAAAAAAAAATTAACATGTTTTGTGTACTAAAAATGTAATCCAAGATTAAGTATTTATCACTTGCATTATTTTGTGTAACTGATGCCATATGGCAACGACTCTCAGCCTAACCTTGTTGGTCAAAATCATTCTTTAATAGAAATCTTTTAAACGCTAAGCCTTCTGTATCAGAAAGAGAGGTCAGCTGTTTGGGGGTGAATGTGGGGAGGCAAAGACAGGGGCTGAGCCAGTGAATGTGCTCTGGCTGGCAACCACGTGGAGGAGGCAATGGACCACCTGATGGTTCACTATAAACCCCAGGATTCAAGGGACAAAAAAAGCTTGTTTGAACTAATTTTTCTTTATTTAATCTACTTTAAAGTGCCCAAGGAACACAATACCCACGTCTGCAGCATGGCTGAAGGAACCAAAGAACCAAATCTCTTCTTTCCAACCCATGAATTCTTTGCTTCAGCTAAAACCCCAACTCTAGTTTGAGGAATATGGCTAAGCCGTATCTAATTTTGGTTTTACTGAATAGACCACATCAGTGGATCGACACACAAAGCTAAGCCATGAAGTATGATTTACAAGGCACGATGGCAAGGCCAGACAACATCCTAAACCCAAAGGAAGCTAGTCATCCCGAGAGGACCTACTCGGGATCCCACCTTTCACCTCTCAAGGTGAAAGAAATGCAGGCCAGAAAACAGAAATGCAGCAGTGGTCCTGACAGTGTGGACTCTGCTTCTCCCAGCAGAGCACCAGGTCCCTTCACTCCTGGCATTTCAAAGACACCAAAAAAGCTTCTTTATCAGCAGGCGTTCAATGGCAAACCCAGTGATCACCAGGTGGCCCTTTAGCCTTTGATGCAATTTTAACTGGGGGTGGGCAGTTGTGGTTTGAGGAATGTTTTGATTTTATATTTGATGTTTTCACTCTAAAACACCCAGAATCTATAGAAGTCCATCCCATCTCAGCAGTAGGTGTGATCTCAGCCCATGACCCAGGAGGGCAGAAATTGTTGCATGGGAAATATCAATCCCCTTCAAGATTATTTCAACGTTATCTTCTCCCAATGGCTAGCAAAGCAATACTAGAGAAGATTCCTCAATTCTGGATGCAGATCCTTGTCCATATCTACGCAATCCTGAGAAACAGATCCGTAGATTATGGACAATATAGCACGATGGGATAAACTTCCGGATAACTGTAACATCATTTGTATTCTGAGGTAGTGGAAATGAGGCAGCCGTCTTGAAGATGGCCACGGTTCCCTTAAAGAGATGAGTGAATTGTTTGGCAAGATTCTGCTTCATTTTCATGCAAATTTCCACTGAGGGCATCATTTGGACTTTCTTCTGAGAGCCCGCCCACCTTCTTCCCGGCACTCACTTGCGGAAGTTGTCTACCGAGAGGTCAATGATGTTCCCAAAGGCCGAGAAAGCCGTACTCAACATGGCCTCATTCATATTTGCCCCATACACATACACCGTATTCCCTTTGCGGGGGACACGCCAGTCGGGGAAACTATCTGATCCTGGGTAACGAAGGGAAAAAAAAGCTCAGAAAAAGATTGTACCTCAATTCTGCCAGAGCCCTGCAAATTACACAGAACACCAAATCTTCTTCTCTTTTCTCTCGCAGAATCAATATCCCATATATACTCACATATAAGCCCATCTGTGTATAAGGTGGCCCTCAAATTTTTAACCAAAATACTGTGAAAAATGTGCCACCTGCGGATAAGCCGACCCTTGAAATTTTTGTTTGCTTTAAATTTCACAATAGGCTTATCCGTGGGTAATCCACGCATTATCCATTTTTCATAGTATTTTGGTTAAAAATTTGAGGGCCAGCTTATACACAGATGGGCTTATATGCAGGTACTTTAAACAACTATTACTGTATATACATGCGGATAAGCCAAACCCAATTTTGGGGGTGTATTTTGGCACCTGAAATTCTCAACTTATTTACGAGGATATACGGTACTCTGGGTCCCAATCAAACTCTTGCCATTGCCAAGTATGTTAATGGCTTATTTCTCACATTTATTTCCTGCTGATTACAATGCCCAGCTATACTACTAAATGGCTGGATTCCACTATCGGTAAACTGGGATTCCAGCTCAATCCAACAGTCCACTGCATGGATCCTGCAGGCATCAATTTAGCTGGGAAATGGGTGCTCTCCGGTTGGCATATATCTACTTGTTTTTTTAATTCTGTGACCAGCCACGCCAAGAGAGCAGCCATTTAAGGAATGTGCATGTCCATCCCCCATGGTCCTCACATGTTCTCCGTCATCTGTATATGCCCACCTGCTTCAAAGTAAGAGGACTCCTAATCTATACTATCCACATTGCCCTTCAGAAGACCCAAGTATTTCTTACGGCGGAAGCCTTCTCTGTCCCGCTCACGCCCTCGATCCCGATCTCGGTCCCGGTCTCTGTCTCGGTCCCGGTCTCTGTCTCGATCTCTGTCCCGGTCCCTACTCCTGTCCCGGCTCCGATCCCGGTCACAGTCCCTCTCGTGACCATGCAGACTTTCACTCTGGTCTGGTTCTTTGTCTGGATCCCTGCCTTCTTCTGTCTCCTTCTCGGGATCTCGCAGACAATCACTGGGACTCACAAAGCTAGGAGAGAGCATGGAAGGAGGAGAATTGATTCCCCAGAGGCTGCAGAATCTGAAGCAGGACCTGCGAGAGGACCCTTGGCATCTAGTTCCCCAAATCAGAGCTACGGGGCACAGGAGGAAATAGATGCCATGAAATACAACACTTGGTCTTGTAGGCAAACAAGAGTCAACATTGACATAATTGCCTTCATGTTTTGCTTCCGGCTTTTGAGTATCAAATGTCATGCCACTTGCCTTTTCTTTCTTCCCATTTGCTTGCAGCAAACTTTCAAAACTGTTTTCAGTTATTAACGTCTGTTATCATTCCCCAAATACCTTGCAAATTACTACTTTTAGCAACGTCATTCTCACTTGTTACATTTGATTTCCATCAGATCTCTTCCATCCCTCGGGGTAACCCTTTTGCCATAATAAACATGATGCCCCTTACAGTCTCATTAGACTCTGTTGATGTTCTTTTTAAAGGATTGTCATTTGTTTAAAAAAAAAAAAATAGGGCAGTTTTTCACCTACACACATCATTTAGTTCAGTGTTTTGCACATCTGAACTACAGGCCAGCAAATATCCAAATCGGTTGATAAAGTCCTGGGTGGTTTGCATGAATCAGTGCTAGAAATATGCATCTATGTGTGGAAAAAGAATGAGTTCTAGCTTTTAGAATCAATTCTTAGGCTCCGAATTCTTTAAGTGCATATTTTTCACAGTGAGGAACCTTTCAATCTATTTAGTCTCAACTAAAATCACCAAAAGAAGAAAGTTACACTAAACAGTGATTGCCATGCCTCAGTACAAAAGCACTACAGTTACTACAACCCAATCGTTATCATCTGGATTTCTCCAGTGACTGAATAGATTCTGCTTGCCAAAGTTGGCATCAATGAGGGCAATTATCATGATAGTACCATAATAATGATATGAATGGAACCAACCTCTCATACAGATACTTCCTTTGGGGGCGCCGGGCCTAAAATGAAACATTTTAAAAAAAAGATGGCTTATTAAGTGTGAAATTACAAGTTAACATCATTTAGCAAATCCTGTGTTGAAATCAGGAAATAATCTTTAGCCAGCATGACCAAGGGCTGGCAGAAGAATGAGAGTTTGGTGTAATACTTAAGGTACTGTATTGAACTAAAAACCAGAAGACAGGGAAGTCAGATTCTCCTTTAAGCACAGAGGCCAACTGGATGACTTTGGGCCAGTCCCTCTCTCTCAGCCCAACCCACCTCATGGGATTGTTGTGGTGGGGAAAATAGGAGGTAGGAGGATTACAGGTAGTCCTTGCTTACCAACTACCTTGTTTAGCAACTGTTCAAAGGTACAACAGTTGAAAAAACCCAGCTTTACAACCATTCCTCACATTTATGGCCATTATAACATCCTGTGGTCAAGAGATAGCCATTCAGGCACTCCACAACTGGTGTGCATCCCGTGGTCACATGATCGCCATTTGCAAGATTCACAACCAGCTTCCAACAAGCAGAATTAACAGAGAACGCGGAAGTGAAATCGCAAGTTGCAGTCACATGATGTCTTAACAGAAGTGGAAGTGACATCATAAATTCGGCGCAATCACATGATTTTTCACTTAGCAACCATGGAGCTTAGCAATGGAGTTGCCAGTCCCAATTATGGTCAGTAAGCGAGGACTACCTGTACATGCACTGCCTTGAGTTGGGAGTGGGATGTAAATCTAATGTTGAGGTGGGATGTAAATCTAATGTTTAAAAATCTGAATAGCTTTGGGCTGTGAGAAGTCACTGTGAGTGTAAACATGGGGCAGGGGTGGAGGAATTGTGGCTAGCTGAAAACTGAAGAACATTTCTTCAGCATTCATTTTATCCTAAGAAAGGATTGTGCAACATTCTTGGAAATGTTTTGATTTTTTGTTACTTCCCACAATGCATTTCCACACCCTCTATTTCCACCATACCAGTCTATCCCAGGATAAAGAACAGGTGAAAGCATTAAAAGCTCTTACAGATCCATCACCAGGGGAACCCAAGGATATCAGCACTTCACAGAAGTTGGGTGGAGCCCCATCAAAGTGTCACATCTGGGACTGTATATTCCAAACCACTGAAGGAGAAACAAGCAAGCTCTGCCCTAATCAATTTCCCACCCTTATTTGGGGAATTGTATCTCAGGTACCTCTCGGGAATCATCATCTGCTGAGACGCTGCGCTGAAAAGGCTGGTAAGTTGGGGCAGATCCTTTCTTGGTCTCCTAAAGACAAACAAGCATTAAAAGCAAGCTAAAAGCAATCCTGACCCACTATACTGGTTCTCCTGCACCTCCTTGCATTAACCCAGCTTACTTTTGGCTTCCCCTTCCGAGTCCGAGAGCGCTTGAACCCCGAGTTCTTGTTCTCGGCTTTAATAGCACTGATGGCCCCCGTTTTCACCAGCATCTTGGCTTGTTCTGTAGCTGTTGCAGTGTCTACTACTGGCTGATCTGAGATGGCTGGAAACAAGAAAGAAAGGAAAAAACTGCTGTCCCCAAATGGATGATCTTTGCAGGAGGGCACCTCCCTCACAGCAGCCCACCTTTTCTCAAAAGTCCAACTTACAACGCTTAATTCCTCCCTGGATTGCCTGACTGGTTGAACCCTGTTGCTTTTTTAAGGCCATGAGAGCCTTTTTCTGGATTGGAAGAAGAAAAAATAAAGTCAGTCAAAGATATGCATAGTCCAACCTCCCTTCCTTTCCAAAAATCACTATTGCGTAGACAATTTATTTCCTATTGCACTAAACTACTGCAATAAATTTGGATTTCTGACTTCCAAATGGTTTACAGTGGCTAGAGCAACAACTACATATCTGTCTTTCCTAAAGCAAAACAAAGCAAACAACATGAAAAACAGGAATGACTTAAAAAAAAGAAAAGTGTAAGGCTTCAGTTCTGATAACAACATATATATTCAGAAATACCCTTTGCCTTTCTTAATTTCCAATACTCATTTCATACCTCACGAAAAGCCATTAAATAGCTTGTTTACTTGGGCTTATACCAATATGTGAAGTTAAGACCTGGTGGTTTGTAAATAAAACTATTATTTATCAGTCTGTTGAATAAGCCATTCTGGCTTGTTCAGTAAATCATGGTTAAAACAAATGACTGCTGAGGTTATATCAGAATCCATGCTTCAGTCCTGTGGAATCTATTATTACTATTATTGCTGTGGTGGTGGTGGTTGGTGGTACAGCCAGCCAGATGTTTAGGCTGGATTTGGCATTTTTATCCACCTATTGAGTCCTTCCCAAGGCCCTGGGATAGGTAAATGTTGTTTGAGGGTGTTAAAAAGATATGGTTGCAGGATGTCAGCTGTTCCAAGTAAAGCTGCCTTTTGCAATGGACTGATGGTGATTTTGTCACTGCCGATGGTCTTCAAGTGGTGCTCCAGAGGTTTTGGGATTGCACTCAAGGTGCCTATAACTATTGGTACTATCTTTGCTTTCTTTTGCCATAGTTGCTCTATTTCTATTTGCAGGTCTTTGTATTTTGTGATTTCTCCAGTTCTTTCTCTTCTCTTATTTACTATATTCACCAGCTAGATCACTGTAGCTGACTCCTGCAGCCGTACATTAAGGCGGGTGAATATAGTACATAATTATAATAATAATAGATTCCACGGGCCTGGAGCCTACCTGCCCAACTAACTTATCATTATATCAGGTTCCCAAGATCCATTCAGTCCCTTTCTCTGTCTACCCTCATGAGGATATTTTTCATCCTCAAGCTGACACAATCTGACCTTTTTCTTGAGTTTGGCAAATTTCTTCTGTAGAGCCTCCTCATCTTCTGTTAGGCCAGGTGGCAAAACAATCATGATGGAATGGTACGGTATTGCCTAGAATGAGAAATCAAGGAAGGAATCAGTCAGGTGAAGCTTGGTGGTTGGCTACTGATGGGCATACAGGCAGGCAGGGCATCCTCAGGATTAGCAAATACATTTTAATATATTTTATTGTTGTACTGAATATTCATATATGTTATTGTTGCCTTTTTTTGTAATTTATAACCCTGCAATTTCTATTTTTTAAAGCAAGCATATTACTGTACATGTATTACAATATCTTTCAAATACTATTTATGTTTTATGTTATGGTACTTGTGGAATTAATGTATATTTTATATTGTATTTTAATTGATTTTATCTCCTCTATAAACTCCCCAGAGTCGCTTTTTAACAAGATGGGTGGTGACTACATACATACATGCATACCTACCTACCTCCTGCCTTTCCTTCAGGAGCTCAAGATGATGTCCATAGCACTCCCCCCTCCCATTTTTCTCTACAACAACCACCCTGGGAGGTAGGTCGGACTGAGAGAAAGTAAGTGGCCCAAAGTTATTCAGGGAGCTTCTGTGGCCAAGGGGTTACCAGAATCTGGGTCTCCCCACTCCCAGGTGATAGACCCATACAATCTAACTAGAAACACAGTATATGCCTAAAATATATCATCATGAGAGCCACTTTGGCCTAACAATTAAGGTGCTGGATTAGGAGCAGGAAAACCTGAGTTCTAGTCCTGCCTGAGGCACAGATAGTGGCTGGGTGACTTTGGGCCAGTCCTTTCCTCTCAGCCCGAGGAAGAAGGTAAACCACTTCAGAAAATCTTGCCAAGAAAACTGCATGGCCTGTCCATATAGTTGCCAGCACTCCAGAATGACTCACAGGCACACGCAACATCCCTGCCCCCCCATACAGCATAACCAAAGTGCTTCCATCAAAAAAGAACTACAGTGGTACCTCGGTTCACGAACGCTTCTGTTCACGAACAATTCGGTTTGCGACCAGCACCGTTTGCAAAATTTTGCTTCCGTTCACAAACTCCGCATCGGGTGACGAACACGACCCGCGGCCATTTTCCCTGCTCTGACACGTGGTCGTGGCTTCCTGTAGGGAGGGGGACT